AGGAAGCCCGACCTGGGGCTTAATCCCAGGACCCTGGGATCATGACCTGAGCCGAAGGCAGACGCTTAACGACTGAACCACCCAGGCGCCCCTGGAGTTAACAAATTTTAATGGTGGGTGTGTGTATGTATCTGTATTTTTAAAAAAGTAATGGAGATCTTATTCTGTTCTTTTCAGGTCAGTTGAACATACTGATGGTCAAAGTGTCCTAACAGACTCACTATGGAGGCGGTATAGTGAATTTGAATTGTTGAGAAACTACCTTTTAGTTTACTATCCACATATTGTTGTGCCACCTCTACCAGAAAAAAGGGTAAGAAATGAAACAGCAGTGTAGTTCAAAAGTATTGAGCATTGAGACTATTCTTCATGATTGTTTTGTTCACCTAGGCAGAATTTGTTTGGCATAAACTTTCTGCTGACAACATGGACCCGGATTTTGTGGAAAGACGACGGATTGGCTTAGAAAACTTTCTCTTGAGAGTTGCCTCACATCCCATCCTTTGTAGAGACAAAATCTTCTATTTGTTTTTAACACAGGTATTTTTCTCTTATTTATTAGTCTTAAAAAAAAATTCATTTGATTTTTTTTTCTTTTAAACTGTAGAATGCTTATGCTTAAGTATCTCTTTGCAGCAGCTTTGTTACTATATATGCATTTAATTGTGTTTTTCAGTTTGTTTTGATTTTCAGAAATATTGGGTTACATCACTCAGCTAACATTTTTATACTTAAAGATACTAAAGACAGTACTTTCTGGCATCACTTAAATGGTATCAAAGTTAGTCTTAATTTTTTGAAGCCCAGATCTGTAAAATCTTGGGTCTGTCTTTTGGTAATCTTTTGGAATCTGGATTGTATGCTTAATTTTGAAATGAATTCTTTTTTTTTAACCTTTCTCCCATCTTCCCTGAAAGAATAACAGAATAATAGATATGTAATTTATTTAATTTGGAGTATTCCTTATAGGTTGTTTTATTTTGCAATGATTTCTAAAATTAACTTTAATTTTTAGGAAGGTAACTGGAAGGAGACTGTGAATGAAACTGGGTTTCAACTGAAGGTAAGAATATCTTTATGAAATAATTTGACAGATTCCTTTACAATTCCTAGCACAGTGCCATGCATTTAGTGGATACTTGGTATTTATTGAATGAATGAATGTTGGAAATAGACCTCGCTTTTGCAAATATCATTGCTAATACCATTGGTAAGGTTTTCAAAGAAACACTCTGAATTCACTTTGGATTTCCCTTATTTTAGTTACTAATGAGACTAGAGTGGGCATATTTATGAATTTCATTCTGTAGGGAAAGAACATTTTGAAGCAGTAATTTAGACATAAGCTATAGATTTTTCCTGCAATATGCGCATATACTTTGCATCTTTTTTTTTTAACCCCCTCTGCCTTTACCACTGCCACTCACATTCTTGCCCACATACTTACTCATTTTTTTATGAGATATGAAAGACACTTCCTTTTTTTTTTTT